TGGGTCAAGCTGATTCAAGTATAATACGGAATGTCCTTTTTTTTTTATTAATTTGTTCAATATAAAATGAGTGCCAAACCTGCAAAGCGTACTCCAAGATTGGTGTGATAAAAATTAACACCTTTCAGCATTTACTTAGATGCATAACGTAAATACACTTTTAAAAAAAATATAAAAACCAGTACAATTGTTTGCGACTGCACATTAGAATATTGAACTTTAAAAACTGAATCACAAATGGTGAGGTCACTAACATTAGTCTACTTCTATCGACTCGAAACTATAATTCATCTTGTGTTTCAACTGGTAACCTATTGTATCCAACAGTTTAGGAAAATTATTAAATAACAAGAATTTATGGGCGTCAGTTCGTGCAAATTTGTATTTGAAACATCAGAATTGTGTATGGCGTTGATTGACTTAGATGAGAGAAGATAATATGTCACAGTGATATTGATCAAAGAGGCATTTGAAAATTAATGTAATTGTGAGGTAATGGAATCTGTTTTGCAACCAAATTTATTGTTTTCCATTTCAAATTTCGCCTCAGCTCACAATTTCCTTCACTCCATTTTGTTAATACTATTATGTCAACCCTCTTCCGTTTGTAGGCCCTAAGTTATCTTTTTTTTCCCCGAATATTTGTAACCTTTGGCGAATCCGAAAGTATCTCTGTTCCAAGTCAACTAAACAACTTGCATGCATTCATTTCCTCTAAATTGGATTATTTTTCTCTTTGTTTATTGGTTAACATTGATTCCTCAAAGGCCTATACCGATTAAAGAAAGTTCCAAACTCTACTGCCTGAAAAAGAAACAGAATATGGTGAACCTTTTAAAGAGACTGAATGTGACCCCTTTTAAAAGGGATCTAAGCAGGAACACCAATTGCCTTACTAGTGCTAAAAACAATTTTCACTGTCGTTAAATTTTACAATGCGTCTAGTAAACCTAGAAACTTTAGACACTTTTAATTTAGTAAGTGGAATATGTTCACTCTATTTGAGCCTTTTCCTAAATACTTCGTAAAGAATACACAAGGCAAAACATAGTTATCATTGGGCGTATTCGACTGGTTCATCTCGTTGCCTACAAATTTTCGTTGAGTATTATTTTCATTCGACTGGTTCGTAAAATAGGCTACGTAGACAACGAAAATTAACGTAAACCTTTGTGCGTTAATCAGCGTTAAGTTATCCACATGACCAAAACAAACATGACCGATTGGTGAGTTAAGAAACAACATTTGCGTTTACAAATGATAATCAGAAAATAAAAATTAAAATATCTACCCATATGAAGTCAAACAATAATTAAATTGTATTAAAAAAACCGGATGATTTTTTTTTTATTATTATTATTATAAAATTTTATTACACAACGTGTATCGCAGTAACTGGGCATCCGTTTTGTTTTATCGACTTATGTACAAGTTTTCTATTCGACTGGTCTTCCTCATTAAGTAGGATTTTACTGCTGCCCGGGTGGGCGTGTTTTAACGAAGAACGACCATGTTGAATACGGCCATTGGTATAAATTGTGTATAAACTGTAGCAGCTTCTTTGCTAATGATGTACTGATAGTATGGCCTTGCATTTGTCAGAATTTAATTTCATATTATTAGAGAACTCCCTTAACTATTTCGTTTCATATTTTGTGCAATTTACATTTATTTACTTTCATAGTACAAACGCAAAAATTAAGAATAAGATGTGATTGAAAAAAAATAGGCTACGGAAAATGGCAGGATCTAAACTGTGTCAAACTTAATGTCATCATCAAGAAAAACCGCTTTGTAAGCATTCACGTTCAGTACGGTTACTTAAATCATTATATTGAATAACTTCGTTGAATCCAGTTGTAAGTAAATAATATGGTTCTTTTTATGATCTGGAAGTTTATATCACCATTACTTAACTTGATTTCATGATCATCATAAAAGAACCATATTATCTAACTTAACGTAAAAATCAGATTTGGAGCTTGGGGTTTTCATTTCTTTGAATAAAGGCTAACCCTGGTGAACATAAACAAATACTCTCAATTCTTGCATCTATAAAAAGTTTTAGGTCAATTATGTCTTTTAAAAGCGTCATCGTAAGTGTACTCATTAATGACTTTGCTGTTTGGTACTAAAGTCTTACACATTGAAATAAGCAAATCATGTTTAAGAGTCTGAAAATTGGAAAAAGGTAAAAGACAGGGATAATTGATGACACGACGCACAATCAAACAGTCCTCTGCCAATTAGATAACATCATTACCAGCGATGCATCACATCGTTTACACTCAAATTATCGTGAGAACAACTCAGGTAGAATTCAACCACTTAATTGTAGAAGTACAATAGATGTTGAACTATTTTTATGACTTCTTTTTCAATATCATTTTCGTAATAATAAACTTTTTTACAGGTATTCCTTAATTGTTTTATTTATATTTATACATTACATATTGTAAGTTTAATGTCTGTAGTATAACACTAACAATTTATTTTTATGTGTGTATGAGTCTCTCTCTCCCTCTCTATGCATCATGTTGTAATTTCGACAATAATATTCCTTGATTCTTTACTGCAATCAAAATGTCAACCTCAGTGGCGATTTCTATACTTTATGGAAAATGCAAAACAATCGCCAAATATTTCCATTGAATGTATATCCAGGATTCAGTGGTCAATCAAATATCAGGATCGTCGGATTAAACTAAAACGTCCAGGTGTATCCTTTTTTTGTTAAACTTCTGCGTCGAAACTAAAAGCTTGGTAGATATAGCCTCGCCATTGGAAAATAACCAAGAATAGGAGACTAGGCCCGTGATGGCAACTGTTGCAATTGATGCTAGCTTGACATGACGATTTGTACACCTACAACAATAAAAGCGTTCCATATTTATTAGTCTAGGAGTTTTACCGTACAATTAGGAGGGAGAAAGATGACGATCAACATGTATATAATAGCCTATAAATAATAATAATAATAATAATAATAATAATAATAATAATAATAATAATAATAATAATAATAATAATTAAATTAAATATTTCAGTACACACGCTAATTTAGTGTAATTAACAATTGAACTTCAATTTCAATTGATTTGTTTCTATCTATCGCTCTTCCTATTCGCAGGTGTTATAGACCTATGTTGGCTTTACATTGTAAGCATATTGTTGGGAATTCCATGTACAACCGAGTGTAAGTTGTAATTGTTATTGTAGTTAGTGTATTTCAATTCACTCATTTCTGTATTATTATTATTATTGTTATTATTGTTATTTTTATTGTTATTATTATTATTATTATCACACTATTATTATTATTAGTATTATAAGTTGTAATTGTTATTGTAGTTAGTGTATTTTAATTCACTCATTTCTGTATTATTATTATTATTATTGTTATTATTGTTATTTTTATTGTTATTATTACTATTATTATTATTATCACACTATTATTATTATTACTATTATAAGTTGTAATTGTTATTGTAGTTAGTGTATTTCAATTCACTCATTTTTGTATTATTATTATTATTATTATTATTGTTATTTTTTATTGTTATTATTATTATTATTATTATTATTATTATCACACCATTATTATTATTACTATTATAAGTTGTAATTGTTATTGTATTTCAATTCACTCATTTCTGTATTATTATTATTATTAATATTATTATTGTTATTATTGTTATTTTTATTGTTATTATTATTATTATTATTATTATTATCACACTATTATTATTATTACTATTATAAGTTGTAATTGTTATTGTAGTTAGTGTATTTCAATTCACTCATTTCTTTATTATTATTATAATTATTTTTTTTAATTGTTATTATTATTATTATTATTATTATCACACTATTACTATTATTACTATTATAAGTTGTAATTGTTATTGGAGTTAGTGTATTTCAATTCACTCATTTCTGTATTATTATTATTATTATTATTATTATTATTATTATTATTACACTATTATTATTATTACTATTATTATTATTATTATTACTATTAATATTATTATTACTATTATTATTATTATTATTATTATTATTGTTATTATTATTATTATTATTGCTGTTGTTGTTCCCGACGGTTATTTGGACCTGTCCAACCATGAAGCCTTCGTGGTCTAGTGGTTATGACGCTCGCCTTGTCAGCGAGAGGTCACAGGTTCGAATCCCGTCGGAGGCATTTTATTACACAATGACTTTTATAGGACTTTATTCGTTGAAAAGCTACAGGGTAGCCTA